CAACTAGAAGGATGTGAACCTATGACATACAACTATCTACTGGGGCTTTGGGGGGAAAAAACTGAATAAATAAAAAAAAAAAAAAAAAAAAAAAAAGACATGTTTTAACCCCTAAGATTCCTACAGAGACATTTGGCACTTTGTTATGATAATAAGACCAAACTGTAAGATATTCAGCATCTGTTTTATAAATACCAAACACTGTTTTCCTGAAGCGTTTACTAGATTCTAAACCATACAAGGTGATGATGTAAACAGAGTATAGCTTGGAAAACCTTAGTAATCCTTATGGAGATATAATCAGGTACATGACTTTGTACGTAGATTTTTCAAAATTTACCATTGGTCTTCCTACCTTTATCCAAATTATAAAAGTCACACGTGTTTTTTATAGGAAATACATAAAACATAGAAAAATATGGAAAAATTCACCAGTCTTACCTTTTAAAACCACTTGTTTGAGTAGATTGCTTAGACTTCCCTGTCAGATTATTATTTTTCTTTTATTATTATTATTCCTTCCTCTTATTTTTTTTTCCTTTTGGAAAAATTTGAGGTTTTTTTTTTTAGAATTTAATCTGTCTCAGAAACCTTTATTTTTATTTTTGATTTTTCTGCTAGCACCTTTAACTGCTTTTTAAAGTTATTTTATATTTTAACTGTAAGAAAATAAGATATTGGGTTATAAGGTCGTTGAATTCAGCCACTTTTCTTTTTAGTACTAAAAAACAGAGATCTTCTCAACAACTAAAACCAGAAACCTTCTCACATGTCATATTGGCAGAAGGGACATTTCTGGTTAAAATCTGGGAAGCAAATGCTTGCTTCTGAAGTTACAGCTAGTGACGAAGTCAGATGTAATAGTTGCGCAGTTGCTTCTGTTTTGAAGGTCGGTTTTAGTTGCAAGGGAAAGAAAGTACCTTGGAGCAGGGAGAATCAGCCGTTCCCTATTCCTCATGTCCTCCAGAGGCGTTTTGATTTTGACAACTCTGAGAAGGCTTTGATGAGAAACTTTCTAGCTAAGGAAAGGCAATGCTTTCCTGAAAGTTGTTTAGAAATGGGGCCGGCCCTGTGGCTTGGTGGTTAAGTGCACGCGCTGCGATGCTGGTGGCCCGGGTTCGGATCCCGGGTGCGCATCGAGGCACCACTTCTCCGTCCATCCTGAGGCCGAGTCCCACATACAGCAACTAGAAGGATGTGCAGCTATGACATACAACTATCTACTGGGGCTTTGGGGGGAAAAAAATAAAATCAATAAAATCTTTAAAAAAAAAAAGAAATGCATGGTTGCCTCATTAACACAAATTTAGATGCTTAATGCCAATAACACAAATTAAATGCTTCTTAAATATAAATGGGTGTCGACAGAGGGCAATTTGTCAGCGAGAAGCGAATTTTCTTAAGGGACCGCCAAGTAAGTGTTGGTCTTGTTGAGAGATCCTACCTATAACAATGAAGCACGTCCAAAGCCAACTAATATTATTTTACCAGCCTCTTTGTTGTCCTAAAGCCTGGCACGGAGCTGCTGAATCCAGGCTGAAGGCCTTAGTGTGTTTGCTTGGCGACCCGCAGGTCCTCCAGGCCTAGCTCGGTAGAAGTGGGATCACTGCTTCCGTTTGCTATGGCCGGTGATGGAGAGTTCTATCCCCCAGGCTGCGGGGGCTAGAAGGCTTGGCCCCTGCTTTCTAGGAGCTTGCCATCTGAACTGTGACCTGCCACCAGGGGAGGAAAGCACGCGTTCAAGAGGTGCTTCCCTCCTGCGATGCCCGCACCTGGGCTGCTGTGGGCTCTGCCCCAGATGGAGCTCCGATCAGTATTGCAGACCTCAGCCTCTCCTGGTGCCCTTTCATCTCCCCACCCTTCTCTCCCCGCCCCCCAGCAGAGGCCGGCTCAGCGGGCTCTGCAGTGGTGCACTCACTTTCAGTAAAGTGGGGAATTCAGTCTGAATCAATTGCTTCAGCTCCCCCTTCGACAGCTGGTCTGGATCGCCTTCTTTGGCTGCATATTTTTCAAAAATTTTCTTCAGTTCTTCAGGAGACTTTTTTACACTCATTTTGGTACCCTGTAAATTGGGAAAGAAATGAATTTACCAAAAAGCTCAAGTGGAGTTTTATGCTGGTGATTGCCAGCAAGAGTTTAGTGCCCTTGGGCTGTTTCCTTGGCATAGGTTGGGGAAAGTAAAGAAAAAGGGGGAGGGAGAGAAGAAATAGAGAGGGAGGAGGAGAAGAGAGGGGGTGGACCCGTGGGAACCACAGGTATTTTAAAAAGAATCATCTTAGACAGTATTGTAATTGTCTGTTCTTAGAGTACATCTGTTAGGATATAGTCCCTGGAGCCAAATACTTTTATTAGTAATTATGACATTCTTTACTTTTTATGTACCTGGTCTGCACTGTAGTCTGTGGTCTTGAAGAAACCTGACTACAGCTTCTAGCCTCTAAATGACTGGTACTGTCTTTAGATGGCACAAACCCACTTTCTCCCCAGACCATTATCTTTCATACCATTCTGAAAGGAAGCAGAGTGAATATCAATGCAAGCAGAAGGAGCTCCGGATAATAGTAAAATCACACTTACCCGGTTGCCCTGGAACAGTGAGGCAGCTAGAAGAATCAAACAGGAGTGTGGAGAGCTGAGCAGGATCATGCGACTTTTATAGTCTTCACAGGCACACCACCCTGATTATGAAATTTTCCTTTTGTTTGCCATTTAAGGGTAATTATTAATGGTTTTTGAAATTTAAGCTTAAGATTGCATGAACCTCATAATTAAGGGCAAGATCCAATAAAGGGCCACCTCCCCAGTTGCTTCATGGTTCAGAGTCCCATGAGTAAGCGTGGATTTTTTTCCCCCTTAGATTATATTTTCCCTCCAATGTAGAATTATGATATATTTGCTCGCTGTTCACATTTCGGAAAGCTTAGATATTGGTTTATTTCAATTTAGTTGCATATTTAGCCTTGAAAAAGTAACTTCCTTCACATCCAGGCGCAAAAATACTATAATAGATGGTCAATACTACATAATTTAAAAAAATTGCAGTCTGGCTGTTGAAGTCCCTCTGATGTTTTGTACATACTAGGTGAATAACTGAATGAATGAATGAATGAATAGAAGTGTCATTGAGAAGCAGGTTTAAGAAGTGGGGAGAAGATACACAATAATTTGTGGTTTTATTTGGCAAAGCAAGATTACCAAGTAGCGTGGTCATTTTTCAACTTTTTCATTATTTGTTGTTCCCACATCTGCTTTTTATTTAATACCCTTTTCTTTACCAAATATATTTTGTTAATCATTCTAAAAACTTGTGAAAACACTTGACTTACTTTTATTCAATTGGAAATACTTCAAACTTTTAGAACTGCCAGGATTTAAAATTGGAGACTAAATTTATTTCTGTTAGAAAGAGTTCCATGAAAGAACGGGGACATTGATCTAATACTGATTATAACTCACAAGAAGGGTTTTCAGATCGACTTTAAAAGCACTTACCAGCTTTTAAGCACTTGTACACTTCCGCTCCTGTATAATTTTCTCTGACCCTTCAATATATCACGTACAAATTGAGGATTGAACTATTGGACTGTTATTTCTCTCTGACCCTTTTCAGTTCTAAAATTCTAGGGCCTTATTTACCTTGGAGAATAAATGTGAAATCTTATGGTGTTCCTTAAAAGCTTCCCACCAATCCTGAATGGTTATCATTCGTTCGCCTTTGCTGTCTTGTGTTGTTCTTTTCTTTTGTTATTCTTCTCTTTTATCACAGATTATTTGACTTTGGTATGCATCAGTACTGACTATGTATTAACTCACCTCTTGGAGTAAAGATAAGCATTTTCTTTTTTGTTATAAGACTTTCACACAAAGTTATTCTGATTTTGGCAATGCATTTTAATCAAGATTTTAGAGAATTTCCAGTGTTTTTATACTTATGCTCTGTTTTACCTGGGAGGAAGTAGGCTTTTGTTGAGCAAGCATAACAAGAAATATCTTTTTCCTGTAACATCTTTTAAGAAAATTTCAAATCTACAGAAAAGTTGCAAGAATAGTTAGTGAACACCAACCCATCTTTTGCCCAGATTCACTAATTGCTAATATTTCCACATTTGCTTTCTCTTCTTATGGACAAAAACCTTTTCCCCCTTGAACTGTTTGAGAATTAGTTACAGACATCCAGAAACTTCCACCTAAATACCTCAGCATCTTATCTCCTAAGGACAAGGACGTTCTCCTACACAACCACAATGCCATTATCACAACCCATATTCAAATTTCCCCAGTGGTTGAAATAGCATCTTCAATCATCTGTTCTCTCAAACGACCACTTGGGAGCTAAAATCAACATGGCAGTTGTTATGTTTCTTGAGTCTATATTGAAGAAATGATTTTATTAACTATATGTGATCTTGATAACTATATAATATATAACTATATGATTTTAATAACTACGTATTATATGACAGATAACATGTTATATATAACACATGACATATAGTATATATGACGTGTGTGTATGTGTGTATTGTGTGTATATATATATATATATATATATATGTATAATTAACTCTAAGAAAAACATTGGGAACAGTATTGGTTAATAATACTTTTAGGCTACAAAAGTATTAATACTAATACTGTTAGGCGACAAATCTCTCTTTTCAAGGAAAGACTTCTGATTAAAACAGGCCCAGTGCTGCTTGTTGTTAGAACTTAATCCTTGTAGTAACACTAACAGAACTTGAAAAACAACTAGTGGGTCTTCTTAAATTTTTACTTGCTCACCTCTGTCAGTCACATCTCTCATCTCTTATTTTTCTCTTTACCTATAGACTCAAGTGTGCGGGTAAACCTGCAGTGGAAACCATGAAAGCCACCAATAATATTCTCATGAAACATTAACTAAAAATATATGGAGACAGGTGATAAATACAGGGTGTGTTCAAAAGAGTGCATTTTGAAACTAGAGAAAGGGGAAAAAATGACAGGCACGAGGTCAGTTATGGAGAAATGGAAAGACAAAGGTTACTTATCACCTCACTGTTCGATTGCTTGATCTTTGGACAGACTTACGTCTTTCCTAGGAAAGCTAAGAGTAACGTATTTTAAAAGCTCCGGATACCAGAGGCTTCCATAGCCGTGTTATTCTACTGGAGTCCACAGCAGGCAGTGCCTGGAAGGGCACCTTTGGGAAGAGGCTGTGGTGTCAGTACCCAGGCCCCACAAAACAAAATGGGCGAGAAATGCCTCCATGGGTTCGTGTTGCCTTTGGTCCTGAGGTTTAGAGGAGACCCTGACTGCTACAGTGTAGCTGTCCCTGAAAGGGGGCTCCCATCTCCTCCCCTGCCTTCCCTGTGCCCTAACACAGAGTTCACCTTCTTTTCCACTTCCAACCTTTGCCTGGGCTGTGAGTCTCACCGGTTTGGAGGCCTGCCTGTGCTGGCCCTGGGTGGTTGAGTTCCCAGAGGCCTCCTAATCATAGCCCACGCTTATTGAGGGCTGATTTTTGCCATGGGCTGTGTGCTGCCCCCGGACCCGACCCATTACCTTGAGATATCCCTGCAGCACCCCTGGGAAGCGGATACCACTGTTACCTCCGGTCTGCAGAGACATTCAAGGACCGTTCAAGGTCACATCGCTGGGGAGTGGTAGAGCTGGGATTCTAGTCTAGGCCCAGCCTGCACCCTCAGCCACCACGCCACCTGCCCCATCCCAGGGGTACGGCTTCTGTGAGAAGGGCTGGTCAATGTTAGTGTGAGGCCCAGAGGTAGGACTTAGCTTTAAGTGTTATGGTCGCACCTGAGGTATAAGAATGTTCTTTTTCTAATGGAAGTAACGTATGCCTTCTTTTACTGGTGGAAAAAAAACAAGTTTAAGAGACCAGAAAATAAATATTTCTTTAGAGGACTGCTCAATGTTTTCACCATTGTAGGTTCCATCCTCACACTGCTCTGTGATGTGGCAGGTTGAGAAGACAGAAAGGGAAGTAATGGTCCTGTATCAGGTGAGAGGCCAGCTTGGGCACAGCAGTGCCTCTGCCTCAAAGCAGGGCACTGCTCCTCCCCTCCCGTCTGCTGAAGTGACCTGCCTGCAGCTCGAGACAACCCGCAGCATCTCAGAGACCCCTTCACTGCTCTTAGGCCCACCAACCAGTCCCTTAGTCTCCTCTGTTAGTTTTTGATAAAAATCCGGGAAGATTTAATTATGGAGCACTTGATCAGAACCTGACACTGTGCTGGACTCTGGTGGAGACAGAGAAGAAGATCTAGTTCTTGTGCTTGGTGAGCCCACACCGTAGTTTGTGAGAGGAGACACATATACGAAATGATAGAGGTTCAAGTTGTATACAATAAAGGATTGTATTCGTTTCCTATTGCTGCTGTAACAAATCATCACAAACTTAGTGGCTTAAAACAACACAAATTAATTTTCTTACTGTCCTGGATCTGAGAGGTATAAAGTGGGTTGGCAGGGCTGCGTTCCTTCTGCAGGCTTTCGGGGAGAATCTGTTTCTTTGCCTTTTCCAGCTTGTAGAGACTGCCTGCTCATGGCCCCTTCTTCTGTCTTCAAAGCCAGCAATGTAGCATCTTCCAATCTCTCTCTCTTTCTCAGAGGATGACCTCTGCTTTGTCATCCATCTCTTTCTCTGCTTCTGACCCTCCTGCCTCCCTCTCATAAAGACCCTGTGGTTACACTGGGCCCACCCACATAACCCAGGATAATCTTCCCATCTCAAGAGCCTTAATTTAATCATATCTGTAAAGTCCTTTTTGCCATGTGAGGTAACATATTCACAGCCTCCAAGGACTAGGACTTGGGCATCTTTGGGGGGCCATTATTCAACCTACCACAAATTAATTAAAAATGAATTAACAGTGTATAGGTTATTTATTTGGTAGGGTGAGCATAACAGGGTGGTATTAATTATGGGGCAATAAGGAGAACTGGAGGGTGCCCCTGAAGCATGAGCCCACTTGGAATGGTAGGGAGAAGGCATCTTAGGAAAAGTAGTGAAGAAGCAATACGTGTGTAGTGGGATTGTGGGGAGGGGAGCAGAGGACCCATCGGCAATGGACCCATCTGGCTGGGGTGGAAACCACAGGTTAGAATATGTGGGGAAAGCATAGCTAGACTGGGTTCCTGAATGAGGTGGTGGAAGCCGAGTGCCACGTGGAAGAGTTTAGATTTGATCTGTAGCAATGGAGGCTGCTGTAGCTAGCAGTGTTAGTTCATACCAAACAACATGAATTGGTTCAGACTTTATGCACAACTTGAATATGACTCATCAAGAATCAAAATCAGAAGCGTGCTTGGAAAAAAAAACGAACAGAAAAAACCCAATGGACAGGAGGAAAGGAACAGGTTGGGGAAATCCTTGTAAAGAATACTTGAAGAATATACTAGAAAGTCTGAGAGAATCACTGTGTGTGTGGCCTAAGAGACTGTAAACGGTCTGCTGAGGGGTAGGCTCCCCCAGTGTCCCCACATGGAATGTCCAAAGGCGAGGGACGTGAGGGAGGCTGACCTTACCGGGGCTCTGTCAGGTTGATCAGAAGCCTTCTGCTCCTTCACACACTGCCATTTAGGAATTTCATCTTTGATAAGAGAACCCAAGTTCCCTAGACTTTGTTGTTTAAGGCACCCAGGACGTACAAAGTCTTGAACCCATTACACTTTTATTGTGGGCTGCAGAAGCTTTGGTAAAGGTTAATTAGTGCTGTATTTATCCTTTTGTGGTACTTTTACATCTCCTCAAGCTTTATCACCACCAATTTTCGTTACTTATTGATCTTTTTTTTTTTTTCTTGTGCTATGTGGCTTGGTTCCAAGGAAGGACAGATCTGTAGTGGGGATCAGACGGCAGCCAGCGTTTAAGCAAAATCAGAGTGGGCCGAGGCAATCCTTTTGCAATGGAAGAGGCATTTTCCTCTTAAATGCAAAATCTAGTGTATTTGAGAAATGTTGGGATTAAAACTAAAGCGTATTTGAAGTTCTTTTCTTTAACCACCCTGGTAATGATAAAAGATATGTTTTGAAACAGTGATGTTCTCCTGTTTCTCAGGCCTTTTGTGGAAGGAACGCCAGGAACAAAGATGTTTTCCTGAATTTTGTTGCTGAATCAGGTTATTAAAACCCGGAAGGCAGCCCTACTGTCATCTTTAAAGTTTGTAGGATTGCCTGATAACTCTGCAAGGCAGCTGGTTGGGCCAGGCTTGGCCAGAAATGCACCGTATTCTTTACCTTCCCCAAACTTTCCCTTCCCTAGTGTTTGGATCCCACCAGCTTGTGCCTGGCCTAGCCGTTCTTTGACTGAGTGTGTGGCGGGCATCCCCCGATGAGGCCTCCTAAGCCAGACCAGAGAGCGCAGCAACTCTCCTGTCAGCTCTCGCTCTGCTTTTCTCCGTTCACTGACGTTCAGGGCATCATTTGGGGCTGGAAAGCTGCTTCCACCTGCTCCCCCATCTTTTCTCTAACATTTTCTTTGCCTTCTCCACTGGCTTCTATACTAGCACATTTTAATTGGAGGATCACCGTGGCTGTTAAGCCTTAGAATTTCTTTCTATGCTGTCATTTCAGGAGAAGGTGATATTTATTGCTTCTGAAAACAGCAGGGATAACGTGAGCTAATACCCTAGTGGAAAGCCTAAATAATACATCTCACTATTTGGGCCTTAAATTTGTATTTTCATTAAAATAATACTATGTACAAAGTTTAAAAAGCCAACAGTTTCAAAAGGCCTTTAATGAAAAAATTCAGTAATTCTTGCCCCCTCTCTACCACCGTCCACTCTTCCAGCTGTTTCTCTTGATATTTACCTCCATGTTCCTAAATAGTATTGTCACATTGCTCTGTCAGGAATTTCCAGACTTCCCCCTATGTTGGGGGGAGTATTTCGCACCCTTAGGCAGCCCCTGTGCCCACTGCATTTTCCTTCTCTGCCCCCCACCCCCACTTTAATTTTGGAAATATTTTCTAGTCTTGAGGTGTTTGTCAAGTTCATCCTAAGTAAGCAGTAAGGCAGGTGTCCTGTTCTTAGTTGGGTCATTTGACTCTATTCTCAATGGTTCATACCAGAACATTTCTTGAACACCAAACTCACCAGTAACTGAACACACTACATTACAAAACTCTTCCTGGGTAGACAGACCCAAAGCAGTAAGTACACTTTTAAGAAGAAACCAAGGGGAGTTTATTGCTGTGGTCTTCCTAGATGGTTCAGGTTGTCTTAAACTTAAGCAGAAATTGAGGCTATGAATAAACTTAGGACTTCTTACAAATCTGTGGTGAAGAGTGCAGTCTTATCTGTCCTTTCCTAGAAAGTGCGTAAGCAGCTCAGCTTTGTGAACTGGAAGCTAATGCCCTCCCTCGCCTTACTCCAGTAATGCTTAATCTAGCCAGAATTAGCCAAACAAAGAAGACAGGGAAGAGATGCGAAGGCCAAGAGCACTTCAGAATCGAGCGCTTCATCCAACGGACATATTCAAGTTTTTTCTCCACTCTTTCCCCTCAGTGACTCTTAGAGCGTGCTTGGGACACAGGGTTCAGATGGCTCGCAAAGTTCTTCTAGGGCACTGATAAGATCAGAGAAGTTCTTGGAAAATTTTTACCTCATAAAATTCTAGTTGTCAAGGACTCCTATAGAGCAATATATGGCAATTAGGGTATGGAAAAAAAAAAACCAGAAAGGTTTTATGAGAGGGAAGCCTGAGAATTCTATTAGAACAGGTTAACTCACCCAACTGTAGTCTCTTCTAATAACTTAAAAAAAAAAAGATGAAACAAAGCCATGAGATTGTAGTGAACAGAACTGAGAAAACAGATCAATGACTAACGAGAGCAGGCTTTTCATAAAAATCATGTGTTTCTGAATTTCTGTGAATTAATCATAAAGATAAATCTGAAATCATTTTGTCTGAGTTCTTTCGGACATTCATGCATTCATTCAGTGCATACCTTATGCCAGTTCCATATATTCGAGGGGCTGGAAAAGCAACGCTACCCCACCTCTTAAAGATGTAGAGTCTAGCACGCAAAGCATTCTACACATGCAAACTGAGGGAAGTGCCATGGCAGGGAGGGCGTAGGTAGAGGACCCTGCCAAGGCTATGGTGTCCAGGAATGTCAGCTCCCATAGAAGCTCGTACTGGATAGTTGAGCTAAGATCTCAAGGTTGAGGATGGTTTAATTTAGGAATAGAGGGTAGGGGAGTGGGAGAAGATGTTCTGGGCAGAGGGAACAACATGTGCAAGTCCCCATGGCAGTAGGAAAGAAGATGCACTTGAGGAACTGAAGGAAGCCACGGTGACCAGAGCTCAGGGTGTGAGGGGAAAGTCATGGGAGGTGAGGCTGGAGGGCGAGGCTGGGCCAATAGCACACAGTCAGGGACTTCAAGCAGGAGAATACCATGACCACTCTGCCTGCAGTGTGCTGGGTGGACTGGGGCTGTGTGAATGTGAGGCAGCCAGTCAGTCAGTAAGCTCTGGCCGTAGCCTAGGCGAGGTGCTGTGGTTTGGGAGGTGGTTGGAGCTGTGGATGGATGTAGAAAGTCTGGAGGGAGTAAATTGATAGGACTTGACAGATTGGATATGAGGGATGAGAGAGAGGGAGAGATCCAGGGTGGTGCTTATTTTCTGACATATAGAATGGATAATATTACTTTTTTTTTAAAGGAATTGAGTGGTTTTCTACAAATAAGTACTTTTGGTATACTTTTCTACAAGGATTGACAGATTTGCTTATGGAAAATCTTTAGAGAATGAAGTGGGCAGTGGGAGAGGGTTGTTATTATGGGAGAGATGTGAATACCAAAGTGGGAGGCCCCAGAAGTCCAGAACTTGAAGTGTGAACATTGCCTGGAACTGACAGGTTGAATAATGATGGGAAGAAGGTCATAAAGATGCCCCTGATAAATTTTTTACAAGCGATTTGAATGAAAGATGAGAAGCAGAGATGAAAAGGAAGCATACTGTGAGGAGTGTATAAAGCGTGACCATATTTGAATAGGAAAACTGAAAGGAATGGTCAGATTTTATTGTTTAGGGAACATCCTTCCCCAGCGATCATGCCTCTAAAAGTAAAGCTTGAAATTTGGGAAATTACATTTTTACAAGATGACAAAATCAGACTTGTTTTGTTTTCTAAGGTGATCGATATGCCCGAACACAACCCTGGCAATTTGGGAGGAACAATGAGGCTGGGAATAAGAAGAACTGTTTTCAAAACTGAAAATTCAATATTAAGTAAGTTTCTCAGACCGTTTGTTTTACAAGATGTTGGGTGTCGCGCGCATGGCTGTGCCCAGCTGCAGCCCTCCTGGTGGAGTTCGCCCCACCCCTTCCACCTCTCCCGCTTCCTTTCCAGCAGCCTCAGGAGCTCGGACTCTTCCTCTCACCTGTCTCTCCCTGCCCTCGCTGCCCCTACTGCTTCTCGATTCCTCTCCCCGGAAGGGTTGGTAGAACACACATGAATGCCCCTTCTCCTTTGATCTCCACCGCAGCCTGTCCAGGGGCTGCTTTGTGATTTACCGATGCTCCCGGAGGCGACCTTGCACTGGGAGAGCCCTGATTCAGACTTCCTTCTTTCGAATCCACTGTTCTCTCCACTACATTGAAACACGCTCCCTGTTTCACTGTTTCATGTCTGACTGGTTTTAGCAACAGTTTATGAACTTCTTGAGAAGGGCAGCAGTTATGTCTCCCAGAAGTCTATTTCTCTGTTCCCCCAATAGCTCCAGCATGGGCAGAGGAAAATATGATGTGGCTCACCATCTGATATTTGCTGATCTTCCTACTCCCAATAAGGTTATTCTAATTTCTGTGGAGATTTTTTATAGATTAACATATTATATGAGAACCACAATGTAAAAAAACCCAAAGCCCTTAATTCAATTTAATAAATATATCTTCAGTGCCTACTCTGTGCCATATGCACTGTGTTAGATTCTGCAGATATAGTAGCGAACGGGACAGATACCAGCCCTGCCCTCTCTGGGCCTCGAAACCAGCAGAAAGAGCGTGATGACAGGGGCTGTGCACGGTGCTAAAAGGGCCGGAGGCAGAGGAAGGGAACCCTGGCATCTTGGGTGTCCAGCATCATTCCCGTGAAGTTATCAGAATACTTTAGAAACATGCCTTCTTAACTCAAAGAATAAGACCTGAAATATGAGTTTCTCCTTTAAGGATGATAAACAGCTTCTAAGGAATATAGAACTTCCTAGCAAGAATGAAATTTAAAAAGAAAAAGTTTCAAAGTATACACATTTCCCTGCTTTCTCTGGATAAGAAGCCATTGTTCTCAAAGTGACTTTTTTCTTTAAGAATACAAGAATTTTTTCTCTTTGTGGATATTAGCAGTGATTCTTTGGCTTTCAGATGTTTTCAAATACTTTGAAACTCCATTCAAATAATTGCCTAAGTGACAAAAAACGCTTAGTGAGAAATTTAACGTTTTAAAATTGTATCCTCTGTAAAAGATTCAGTGATAATTGTACTAAACTTTTAAAAAAGAGCATTATGTTCGATATATTAAAAATTTGATCTGTCTTGATGGAAATAAGACTGATTTAAGATTTGTTTTTCTTTACAGTAGACATAAAAATAATGTTGATGATTTTTATGAATCTTAAACAAACACCAAAGCTTGTTGCTTAATATCTTTCTCCTGCCTTGAAAAAAAATTTTAAACAGCTTTATCGAGATATAATTTACATACCATACAATTCATCTTTTAAAAGTGTACAGTTCACTGGTTTTTATTGTATTCACAGGGTTGTATGACTATCACCACAGTCAATTTGTGATTTGACTGTCATTTTTATCACCTCAAAAAGAAACCCTGTTCCCTTTAGCTATCATTTCTGCCTCCAGCCCTAAGCAACCATTAATGCACTGTCTCTATAGATTTGCCTATTCTGGACATTTCATATAAATGAAACCATATGATATGTGGTATTTTGTGTTTGGCTTCTTTCATTTAGCATAATGTTTTTAAGGTACATTCACAATGTAACATGTATCAATACTTCATTCCTTTTTATGGCTGAGTGATATTCCATTGTATAGATAGACCACATTTTGTTTATCCATTCATCAGTTGATGGATGTTTGGGTTGTTTCCAGGCCTGCCTTAAATTTAAATTGTGCTTCATGGTTTGCAAAAGGCATGTGAGTATATGAGCCTGTGGTCCCCAGGAGGCATAAGGTTTTGCCCTCCCACCTGTGTGAGGTCTTCCATAGGTCTCCCAAAAAGGTTGTGTCAGAGAGAAGAGATAAGAATAGAACTACTGTGCATGGCTCTATTGAGCGTCATAAAAATATAAAAACAAAATAGCACCATAGTGTTTTGTAGGGTTTTTTTTCCTAGTTGGCAGATTTCTTTTGTAGGATTTTTTTTCCTCTAGTCAGCCCATTTATTTTGTTGGCTTTTTTTCCTAGGCAGCACATTTCTGCAAGAATGGTAGGAACAAAATACATTTGGCTACATTGCCTGTGACGATAATTTATAGTTTTCATGGAAAGCATTTTGATACTATTCATTCTTTATTTAAATTTGATTTACAGGCCAGTGATTGCAATGCTCTAGAATAAATGGGAAAATAAGAAAGTAAAGATTTCTTTTTAGTAAAAGAGACTACTTTGTAATAGGATTAAAGCCTAAAGATATTGATTGACACAATGGTTGGATTACTAGAGTGATTCTGATTTTTATATTCATCAAGAACAATCCCTCTTTTTCTCTTAGTCCCTCTTAGTTCCTTAAGGGTTATGAAAATATGAATTTGATTTTCCTTTTTTTTTTTTTAGTATTTTTTGTGTGTGTGTGAGGAAGATTGGCCCTGAGCTAACGTCTGCCAATCCTCCTCTTTTTGCTGAGGAAGACTGGCCCTGGGCTAACATCCTTGCCCATCTTCCTCCACTTTATATGGGACGCCGCCACAGCACGGCCTGACAGGCGGTGCGTCGGTGTGCGCGTGGGATCCGAACTGGTGAACCCCGGGCCACTGCAGCGGAGCGTCCGCACTTAACTGCTTGTGCCACTGGGCCGGCCCCTGATTTTCCTTGTTTTAAAAACCGGTTTATTGAGGTATGATTGACATACAACAAGCTGTACATATTTAATGTATACAACTTGATAAGTTGAATTTGAGTTTTTGGAAGTGGAGATTATAGGTATAAATTGATTTAAACGAAAATACTGCTACTCATCATCTGCTCTGTTTATAAGAAATGTGTTCCCAGAGGCCCACTCCTGTCCTGTGTTCTGTTTATGTGTGTGTTGTCTTTGTCTGCAAAGGCTTTTTCTTATAAAAGGACTAATGATAGTGTGCGTGGAATTGTCAAAGCTGGTTCAAGAGTCTTTAGAAATAAGATATTTTTCCAAATTGTATATCTCTAATCCTTCACCTAAGTATTAATTGCATATCCGTGGTCTTTTCCAAACTTTATTTATCTATCATGCTTAGTTTTTTATAGTATTTTATTGTAGCATAACTTTTCATGTATCTAGCCTTCGTGTCTATTATTTGGGCATATAATTTTTAATTGAGTTAAGGAACCTCAATTTCCTAATTCATTACCTATTGTTAAACATTTCAGGTTGTTAGTTTCGGCGTTTTGTTAGAAAAACGCTGATGCGAGCATCTTGACACATTGTTTTTGTTCTTTTGATTGTTTCCTTAGGATAGATTTCCAGGAGTAAGACTGTTAGGTCAAAGAGCAAGAACACTTTTATGACTGCTAATTCTGCCGCATTGTTGGGACGAAGAGGTGAACCAGTTCATAATGACATTAACTGTACTGTAGTGTTCTTGCTTTCTTTAGTCTTTTTGCTAGCACTTAAACACGGGAAGGGAGGGATCTACCAGCCTACTGTATTACCTAAATGATCTAAACCAGAGGTTGGTAAACTCTTTATGTAAAAGGCCAGATAGTAAATATTTTCAACTTTGGGGCCATATGGTCTTTGATGCAACTACTCAACTCTGCCCTTGTAGTGTAAAAGCAGCCATAGGCAAATATGTAAATAAACGAGCATGGCTGTGTTCCAATAAACCTTTCTTTATGGGCACTGAAATGTGAATTTCATGTAATTTTAAAGCATCATGAAATATTATTCTTTTTTGATTTTTTTCAACCATTTGAAAATGTAAAAACCATTCTTAGTTCAAGGGCTGACCAAAAACAGTCAGGGGAATCCTGTTATGCCTTGGGGTTGCCATGGCTTGCGGTACTCTGGTCTAAACAGAAGCAGCACAGGTGGAATGAAGGGCATGGCCGAGGCATTAAGGCTACTCTCCTCCTGGGGAGGGTTCAAGGACATCTCCCCACTGGTCCACTTGGCTGCCTAAATATCCTATTTAGTGACAGAGTAAGGCCAAGAGGGCTTTTAGAAGCCATTTGATCCAACCTCTGCATTTTCCAGCTGAGGAAGTGGAGGGCTCAGAGCTGAAGTGGCTCACAGTTGGTGGGTGGTCAGAACAGGCCCAGGACATTCTTCTTACCTAGTTTCTAGTCTTCTACTGAAACACATGGCCCTGGCTCCACAGCCCACCATTACAATCACTCACTGAAATGTAATCCTTAAAACACACATTTTATGATTGTTAAACTTGTCAAATGCTCTACCCTTCAGATCTGTACATTTTATTGCATATAAATTACACTTCAATTTAAAAAAAACCTACATTTTATCTGGGAATGTACATGCTAAGACTTGTCTCCTTATAGTGATACCATTACTTGGTTGATTAACTCAATAGATGATTTTTGAAAAGCAGGGAGAAATGGCACAGAACAGTTAAGTATTAAATGGGGAGCTTTGAAGAGTGAGAAATCTAGAATGAGGGGTGGCTAGAGGTGGAGGGGATCAGGCTCAGGTGAGGGGGAGTCAGGGAGAACACCGAGGAATTTTGTTATTAGAGGGTTTTAAGACTCCAAAAATAAACTTTATCATTTTGCTTGTGGCTCTCAACTGAGTGCAAGAGATAGGAACATCATAAAGTGGAAAACAATTCAGACCAGATTCAGAGCTCATTCAGGGGGACAGCTGACAACTTGTTTGATAGTGTTTCCAAAATATTACAGGCCCCAGGCTTAATTTTTTTGGTCAGGTCCCAGACATGTTGCCACGACATCCGGGAAGGAAAACAAGTCTTTGTCCGTGCTGAGTGTGGTTTCCAAACCAAACTGCCACCTACCAGAAAGCGCACGTTTTTTGGGCCGTTTAGGTCACATGTTTGAGT